ATGGTGCGCAGGCGCGGCGGCGTGCCCGCCCCCGCCCGCCGCCCGGCGCACCGCCATTGGCCACGGCGCCCCCCGCCCGACCGCCCGGCGCCTCGCCATTGGCCGCGGCGCGCGCTTAAAAGGCGCGGCCAATGGCTGCGAGCGGCAGAGGCCGGGGCGCGGGCGGGCGGCCTGGGCTCCGTGGGGGAGCAGGCGGCCCCGGGCTGGCGGGCTGAGGGGGTGCGGGCGGCCGGGCGGGCCCGGGCTCCAGGCGGAAGACCGGCAGGGCGCGGCGGGCGGGGCCGGCGGCCTGCGCCTGCTGGAGGCAACGGCGGTGACTCTCTCTTTGTCTGCGCTCGCTCCAAAATGGCTGCGGCCAGAGCTGACGGGAGCGCCGGGCAGGCGAGGGAGGGAGGCCGTGCTCCCGAGGCCCCTCCGCGCCGCCGCCGCCGCCGCCGCCGCCGCCGCCGCCATCGCGGGGCCGAGGCCGGGGGCGGGGGGAGTAGGGCTGGCGGCCCGGCGTCGGCGCCACGGCTGCGGACGGGCCGGGCCCAGCCGAGGACGCGCTTCGCGGCGTCGGTGCGCCCAGCGCCCCGCGCGTCCCTGTTCCCGCGCCCGTGCCGCGGCCCGAGCCTCCCCGGAGCGGCGCCCGGCCTCGGGCGGCAGGGCCCCCGCACACGAGTGTCCCTGAATCAGCGCCTGTGGCGCCCGTAGTTCCGAGGCGGGAGGGGTCCAGTGTGGACGGCCTCTTGTCTTCCCGTCTGTTTCCTCTCCTCCCTTTGACAAAGTGCGTGACCCAAAACCCTGCGCGCCAGCACCTCGGCCGTAGAACTGGCTCAGGTACAGTCCTCTTCGTGCGGGTGTTCGTTTGTTTGCTCTTGACCCAGAGACGGTGTTCCGGGACGTTTGGAGGGGGCTTCCTGGTGCCCGTCTTCAGGGACAGCCGCGGCCCCTGGGCCGCGGGAGCCGGCCCGCGCCGCCCGAGGACGCGGGTCCCACACCCCGGGCCGAGCCCCTGGACCCGGGCTCCGCGCCCCGGCGGAGCGGGACGCGCGGGCTGTGGGAGGGCGGGGGGCTGGGACCCGCGGCACCGGTGCCGGGTCCCCTCCAGCGCCTGGAGCCGGGCGTGGGCGGGGGGCTGGCTTTCAAACAATAGCAGAAACGTGGAATTATGTGTCAATTGTCATCTTGAAACGTTGACAACTAATTAGAAAATTTTAAAGGAAACCACGTAAAAGCATTGGCAGGCTGACTGCAGTCCCCCCCCCCACCCGCCCCCAGTGTGACGACATCTGTAGTGGTACGTCCGTAGTCTACACCCTTGGAGCGCTCAGATTGGAGTGGGGGGTAGAAAAGCAAAGCAGTGGTGCGGGTAGGAAGTGGAACGCAGATTGTGTGCCCGTGCACCCGCAAGGGCCGGTGTGAGCAGGGGGATCCCCACTGTCAGGTCACCCCTGCTACATTACTGACAGCTTCCCTAAAGGAAGGGTGGCAGTGCCATCTGAGGGCATTCCGACTTGTCCACACAGCAATGGCTTCCTGAGTTCCCTGAAGGCCTGCCAGGACCCCTCCAACCCAGTGCGTCTCGCCCCAACCCAGCCTCCGTTCAGCCTGCACCCTTGGGTGCATGCCACCTCTATTCATTCCTCTCTGCACCAGGCCTGCTCCCCACATTGGCGCTGACATCACCCCCAGTGAGCTGCGGGGCACTGTCCTGTCCAACAGGAAGTGTGGGAGGTTAAGTCTGAACCCCCACCCCACCCCCCAGGAAAGAAGGGAGCTGCAGAGGAGGATGAGGCCATTCTGCTGCATCTGGTGCTCCCCAAAGCCCCGCCCACCTTGAGAGTAAACAGGGGCAAGGAAGTCATGGGGCGTCTCCCCACCTCCTAAAGTAGGGAGGGGACAGGCTCCCAACCTGTGCCCCTTGCTCACCCTGAGGACCTGGGGCATTTTCCTGGAATATCTGTATGGTTTTACTTGTTGCCACAAGGAGTTATGACCTCTGCACCTTGAAAGAGGCCTTCCACCTCGCATAAAGAAAAAGGGACAATGGAAATGAGTGCAAGTGTAAAGACCATGTTTAAACACGGAAAGACCTTTGCTGTGAGAACAGCAGAACCCGAGATGGCAGCCTTGCCACCTGCCATGCCACAAATGTGCAAGACCACAGGTGGAAGGGAAGGCAGCTGCCCGGGCCAGCAGCCACATGGGCCTTTTCAATCTCTTAAACAGTATATTATCTTTTCAATAAAACAAAGAAAGCATCAGATGCACTCTCTTAAATGTAAAAATAAATATAACCAAGACCACAATTTCATTGTTGCTCTCTCTGTGTGAAAGACATGCGGTGTTCGTATTGTGCATTATGTATAGTGTATTACCTATGCTATTGTTGTCCATCTGGAATACTACATGATAAAACATTAAAAAAAAAAAAAAAAAGACCTGCATTTAGCTGTCAGCTGGTGGCCCCGGGCCAGGCCGCCAGAGTCCTGTCTGACAGGTGACTTCTCCACCTGAGCCAACAGTGCTCCTCAGCACCTTGGACCCCGCAGGATGTGCCCATCACTGAGAATGGATCCACATCTCAGGATCAAACTCATGAACACACAACTGATCTGTAGATGCAGGCACATTCATTTCTTAGGGCCATCAACATTATCATAAACAGCGACGTACAAAACAACAGGAATTTATTCTCTCAACTCCAGAAGCCACGAGTCCAAAATCAAGGTGTGGGTAGGGTCCTTCCTGCCTCTTCGGCCTCTGGTGGCTGGCCCCAGGCGTCCTAGGCTTGTGCCACATCCCTACAATCTGTGCTTTCGTGGTCACATGGCTTCTCTTTGTGCCTTTCATCTTTTGAGGACACTAGTCATTGGATTTAGGGCCCACCCTAAATTCAAAATGGTCTCATCTTTTTAAATAAAGGGGGGTGGGCGGGTGTCTGGGTGGCTCAGTTGGTTAAGTGGCTGCCTTTGGCTCAGGTCATCATCCCAGGGTCCTGGGATCGAGTCCCGCGTTAGGTCCCTTTTCTATGGGGAGCCTGCTTCTCCCTCTGCCTGCCACTCCCTCTGCTTGTGCTCGCTCTATCAAATAAATAAAATCTTTATTAAAAAAAGTTTCATCTTAACATACTTAACTACATTTGCAAAGACCCCATTTCCAAATAATGTCACATGCTAAGGTTCTGGGTGGTGTGAATTTTGGGGGGACGGTTCAACCCAATACAACGTATGACCAGTTTGTCCACTTATGGAGAGAAGACCTTCCAGATAAATCAGAAGGCAGTCATCAGCCTGATCAGCCCCTTTGCCCCAGAACAGTAGCCTGAGACATGATGAGTCTGGCGTGGAAACCACCAGTCAAGGCTGCCCTCTCTGTTCTGCCTGGAAAAGGAAGTGTGGTGGTGAAATCTGCTCAGTGGCCACCAGTAATAAGCAAGTTGACGCACTGAGCTCTCCACACAGGGCCAAGCCCCTGTGGCAGTTGGGGGGATTGAAGCCTAGGAAGGTTGTCATTAGCTCAAGGTCTCTCCCGGTAGGGACGGAAACCTGGGACTCGGACCCTAACACTGACAGACAGTGGTGCTGCTCTTTTCAGGCTGCCAAGGCTGCCCAAGCCCATGGTACACCAATTAGATGTCCCTCCTAAGTTAGAGTCAGAGTCAGGCCTGCCTCTTCTGAGACTGACCCAGATCTGCTGGATGCGGGCTGTCTGCAAACTCTCAAATGACTCATTTACAACAGTTCTTGGCTGACTCCCACAAATAGCTAACTACAGCTATCATGGATGGCTTTTACTAGTTTAGCTCAGAGAGGAGCTTATTTCAAAGTTCAGGTGGGAACTCTGAGGTCAGCCTTCCTGTGACGCCTCCCTCGCCACCCGAAAGTGCAAGCAAGAAACAGCCTCACTATCAGTCAGAGGAGCCTCCTGGGTCTTTGCGTCCCTCTTTCCCAGAGAGGTGCGATGCTGCCAAACTCCATTTTCTAAGCATCATACCCATCAGATGGGTTTTTTCAGGTAGAATCGCTTATTGCTTTGGTTAATTCCTAACATAATTTGCCCCTCACTCAGCTTAAATGCTCAGTTTATAAAGCCCAAGCCTCAATCCATGACAACCTACCTTCTGGAAAACCTTAGCTTCATTGCAGGTGCTCTGGGAGACACACCAAACCATAGGTTTCGTCATTGCACACGTTTATTTCGTTAGCATTAATTGTTTGGACAAGATCCATAAAGCTAAGATTTTAGGCACTGACCCTTAAGTGCCAGGTAGGATGTTAAAATAAATAAACTTTGAAAATTATACCATTTACAAAAGCATCAGAAAACCACATAACTCAACATAAAACTAACAAAACAGAGCATAAGACTGACGGACAGAAAACTGTAAAACATGACTGCAAAAATTTCAGGGAAAATAAGTACACGGAGGGATACACCAAGTTCAAGAATTGGAAGGCTCACTCTTGTGAAACTGTCATTGCTTCCCACCATGATCTGCAGATTTGATACAAAGCAGGTTTTAAGATCCCAAACAGGGTTTTTTTCACAGAAATTGAAAGCTGGGCTTCCATTTCCAGTGTGGTAGAGTAACCTCCTATTGAACTAACCTTCCCACAGCACTATGAACTCTGGACAAATTATGGAACACCAGTTTCTGGAGTCGCCAGAGTGAGCACGGGCAGGCAGATGCTGGAAAAGTGAGCCACCCGGTTCCGTTGCTTCACGCCTAAGGGCAGGCCACCGTCCATACCACACTGGGCAGGTAAAACCCCTGAGTCCTTCTGGCCTGGGGAGCTGGGAGACAGATTAGGCAATGACAACCTCTGGGAAGTACAGGGGCATCCCGGGAGGGAAGGAGTGAAAGAAGGGGAGGCCTAGATTCTGTTTATGAACTGGGCCTACATCTCCAGGAAACACTGGAGCACACACATGGGGCAGACTCCAAGCAACTGGACTAAGAATAAAAGAACCAAGATGAGGTCCAACATGAGATCAGAGCTGCCGTCCATGGGACAGTCTTTGCAGCCTGAGCCAGGCCGAGTCTTAGCCTGACACCAACACAAACATGAAATAACAAAACTGACTCCAAAGATAGGTATGTGTGAGTCTGAAGTCCACAGAAAATAACACTCGCCCCGTCAAGGAGACAATCTAAAAATTGCTCAATATACAAAGAAAAGGAGAATGTTAGCCATTCTCAAACGAAAAAGGGTAATAGAGATTGATCCCTGGTGTGACCCAGGTGATGGAATTAACAAACAAGAATTTTATTTAGTCTTTATTTTTTTAAAGATTTTATTTATTTATTTATTTATTTATGCAAGAGAGAGCACACGAGACGGGGGCCAGAGGGAGAAGCAGACTCCCAGCTGAATGGGGAGCCCAGCTTGGGACCCAATCCCAGGACTCCAGGATCATGACCTGAGCCGAAAACAGACGCCCAACCGACTGAGCCACCCAGGCGCCCCATCAAACAAGGATTTTAAAATAACTATCATAACTATAATCACTGAAGCCAAGGAAAATATGTTTTTAATGAGTGGCAAGATTTTTTAAAAACCACAACAGAGAACTAGAAACTATATTTAGAAAATGGAAATTCTAGAACTGAAAATTAAAATATCATCAATATAAAATTACCTGAATGGTCCTAACAGAAGAGTGAGTGACAGAGGAGTAACCAGTGAACTTGAAGATATATCAGTAGAATTTGTGAAACAATTTCAAAAGGTCTACATATGTGTACTTGAAATCACAAAATGAGAGGTGAAAGAATGGGGCAGGAAAAAGCATTTGAAAAAAACAATTTCTAAAATTTTCTATATTTGGTAAAAGACGTGAATCTACATCCTTGACGAAGTTCCACAATCCCCACCGACGATAAACTCAAAGAAAACCATGCATAGGCACATTGTCGTTAAACTGCTGGCAGCCAAATGCAAAGATAAAATTCTTACAAATAGCCTAGAAAGATGACACTTGTCATCCAGGGAACAATACATTGATTTTAATGACTTCTCATCAGAAACTATGGAGGCCAGAAGAGAGTGAAACAACATCTGTAAAGAACTGAGGGAAAGTCGGTCGACACCTTTGTAGAATGTCAAACCAGTTCTCAAGAATGAGAGTAAATAAA